TGCAGTGGCCAAGACTGGGAACCATTAGTACTTCTGAGGGAAGGTTCATAAACCAGAAATAAAATGAGGTCATCCGCAGTGGTCTGCAGCTCCAATGTGCCCTACATCCCAGTCTGCTAGGTATTATCAATATATAAGATTTTAAATTTGATCTCCTTTCTAGAGTTTACTCTAAATTTACTACAGATGTTTGATATCTTGCAAAGCCTGAGTACCTGGAACTTTTGTCTTTATCTTGGACTGTGTCTTTTCCAGGGAAGGCTAAGAATTCAGGTTTTAGTTAAGCACACCAATAGCAAGTGAAGTCCCTGGGCCAGGCTGAGTTAGGGAGAAGACCCCAGTGTCTTATGGTTTCCACCCAGGCTTTCTTTCAACCTCCAGTGCAGGGACAGTTTACCCTTCTGACCTAAGCTGGGATTGCTGCTTGCTCCTGGTGTGGGCAGTTATTCTAGAACACTGACCAAAATAGGCCAGTATAAACATATATGCTTACTGCAAAAATAAAAGACAATATTTTCCACTTTAAAGATGACCTAGTTACATTGTACTAAGAGTCTATTCTCTAGCGTCTCTCAGGTCTGTTTTCCTATGGGTTGCTGGTATTTGTATAAAAGTGGTATAGTCTTTGGGGGGGGGGGTAATTGGCAGTAAGTTTCAAAATGTCCATGCCCTTTGAATAATGTAATGTAGAAGAAATCACCAAAGTTTTGCCAACTAACTTACAAGATGATCATTGCAGCTTCCCAGAAATCAAGATACATTATCAATCACCTATGTGACAAAACTCTGCAAATCATCAAAAATATACAACAGTAGATATGTGTCTTTAAACACAAAAGGCTATTCTTGATATCCTGTTGCATAAATAAATCAGGCATGCAATGGTAAATGTGGTACATGTATACAGGAAAATACACTGATGCATAGAAGAAATACCTGAAAGGAAGATCAAAATAATGACTCCGGGGAGGTGTAATTCATAGCAATTAAGAATTTTAGTTTTACTGTCTTTTGTAATGAACAGGTATTAGTTATAGAAAAGAAAATTACTTAGTGAAGTAGGCCTGTGACGTTCCAAGGGTCTGGTGACCTTGGACCGGATGTGCGTTTGTGTTGGCAGGGATGTGGGCACTAGTGGCCCATTGCTGGCTCAGAAGGGACTTGGCTTGGCCTCCAATCTCCTAAAATGAGTTCCAGCAAAGGCTTAAATAAAAGAGACAAGTAATGTGTTTTGGGGGCATCCAGGAAGATCAAAACTCTCTTAAGCTAAGACAAAGACTTTTCTGGATCACCTGTATTTATTGAGTTTTCAAATAAAGGAAAAGGATAGCTGAGGCAAAGGTGGGAAAATGAGCAAGACCTTGGGAAGTGTAGATCAAAGACTTCTCCAACAAGTGAGTTTTGTCTAAGAGAACTGTCCTATCTCTAAAGTTGATAGTTACAGCAGGAACCAAATGGCCCCAGCTGCAGTCTTACGTTAAGAATTCAAGTGAGAGCCAAGTGTCCACAGCTGCAGCTTTATCTTGCCCTCAGAGGTGTCACAGTGTCATGGACCAATACAGGGCTCTCCTGTGACCGTTGGCATAGAGCATTGCATTTACTGCACATCAGCCGCTGCTCTTTGAACAAGTCGCCTAGACCTGGGACATATAAGAAAATATAGGGGCTGGGGATTTAGCTCAGCGGCAAAGCGCCTGCCTGGCAAGCACAAGGTCGTGAGTTCGGTTCCCGGTACCGGAGAAAAACCAAAAAAA